TCTTTATGGGCAGCACATGTGTCTCCTGACCCCTGTGTCCGTGCAGTGTCCTCTTCACAGCTGGGAGCAGCCACATGAATGGACACTCTGTGAGAAGTCCCTCCAGAGACTTCACTAAACGCTAATGTGTTTGTGGCCTTTGTCCACAGAGAACCCTGTGGCAACAGACTCTTACTGTCTGGCTTTGACTGGAAATGGAAAGGGAGTGTCATAACCCAGTTTAATGATGACTTCATAATAAAATATATACAGTATAATGTTTTTATACCTCTGCACCATCTCCAAGGGGCTGCTGCTATGAGACTTGGGTGGCATCTCTGACTGCCACTCCCCTGACCCAGAAATGGATTAAAGGGTAGAAAATGGATGGATGGATGGATAATGTTTTTACCGCAGGCAGAACATAAGTGTGTTCATCAGTAATTCATCAGTAATCCTACAAGCCCTCATTCAGACACATGGAACATCAGAAAAACAATCAAGTCTGTCCACAACTTACCTGTATTTGTGCATTTCCTGTTTTCTCACTTTCTGCACACTCTGACTTTTCATCTGCAGTAATACTGAGGGTTTCTCAGGGCCGGGATTCTAAACTCAAACTTTTGTGTCAGAGAAGACATGTTCTATGAGCTCCTGTCTCAATATAAAAAGGTAACTCAAGGCTTAGAATACTGACAATCACACAAAACCAACACCAGAAACCACTGACCACAAGTTGTATCACTGAAGCCACACAATTATAACACTATTCATGTATAAAATGTATAAAGTGGTTTATCACTCTAGGGCGCAGGCTGAATGATACAAATAACATTCTTCAAAGGGATCAGTTCAACCATGTTGGAGTATTGTTTTGTTATACCAAGCTCTGATGATCTCCTCAAAATAATGTCACTATTATGCGTTAATAAGAAGAACTCTTTTAATGAAAAGCAGGGACGACAGAAGATGTGCTTAAATGAATCCTCCTAAACAAACGCCAAACTGAAACAGTTTTGCTCCAAACATGCCTCTTCAGTAAGAGTTCTTTCTTGTGGCTGTTTTATTATTTAGCATCCACAGCCTTCTGCAAGAAACAACTTCAATTTATTCCATACCAAACTAAAAAAATACTAGAAAATAAGTTAAGTGTTGTACCATTTCAAACCAGCATTTAATAACTATGTGCATTTGTACAATATAAACATACAAATACGAGATGCAATTTGGGGACCTTTCCTGCCGAGTCGTCTTCTCAGAACACAAGGAAAAGGGAAAGTTATTTGAATGTTGGGACGTACATGAAGCCATAAAGAGTATGGCAAAAGGACGCTCAAATGTCCATTCTATAACGTGGAGACTCTTATTCTCTTCTCAGCCCTTTGATCAGGATAATAGTAAACAGCAGAAAACACTGAGGTGTGTGGCTACAATAACAGCAGACAGGCTAATGACAACAGAACACTATTGATTACACCACAGAGCAGGATGAATGAAGTCCTCGTAACTGCTCTGTAACAACGTTAAAATGTGTATAATTTATGGTCGGGTGTGGCATCTGTCTAAAACATGCAACCATTTAAGAGTCTGTCTAGACACAAGAGACAATGTTAAAACAGCGCAATGTTTGGTCCAAGTTTACATAGATGTTTTGTGAGCCACATATCACATGACCCCAGTGTCATATGACTCAGGTGTAACCTCAGCCACGTCCGACACCGAACATTCCACAAGGCTGCAATTATTCGCAAATTACACTGAATTTAGAGTGGACGAAATCACAAAAACATCAGTCTGATCAATGCAGAGTTTGAAAGACAAGTAGACGTATTACTTTTACCTTGTTCCACTCAGTCTGGTGTCACTGAATATTAACATTAAAAGACTTTATTCATCCCACAGTAGGGAAACTTCAGTGTTGCATCACCAGTTAGAGAACAGTAGGAAGATAATGAAGATAATGAACAATAACTATACTAAATAAAATGAAATACAATGTCTATCTTTAGCATAATAAGTACAAAAACTCTGACTGAAGTATGATAAAAAAGTATAAAATCTCTACCTTTGGCATGATAAGAAGCAAGTATAGAGCACTGTATATATTCTAGAGCAAACAATATAAGAATCCTTTCAAGCCAATGGGATGATTCACATTTACTGAGCAGCAGCTGATGTTTTACTACTGGTCGGTAGTAGATTTGAAGAGACCAAAATAAACAGGTTTCGACCAGCCTCATCAGATATACATGTTTGCTTGAATACACTTGTTGATGTTAGCACTATAGGCACTTTTCAGTACTTTACTGTATTAGACTTTATATAATTGACCGTATCTAATATCAACAACAACAATGGTTTTATTATAGACATATTAGCGCCATTAGCATTCGCATTCCATAAACAAACAAAAAGAACCAACAGTTTTGCAACACATCTTTTGGCCAATAATGGTTAAATAGTTTTGTAAGAGCCATGTTTGGCGTTGCTATGGTAACACCTGGGGAGCTATAATTTGAAGTCTATGAGTACTGGATAAAGACTGTAAATATTAACGGATGTAGTCTGCCATTGAAACTAATGTGCCATCACTTTTGCCTTCTGTGGGTTTTTTCAAAATGGCCGCGGGCCGGAAAATGTGAAAAAATGGCCCCATTCATTTGACGAGTGCATTCAAAAGTCTACAGAGGCTAAACTAGACTGGTCCAAAAAATATATATATACTGTGCTCAGCATTGACACACATCTGGAACATAGCATTGGGCAAAGAGCCGACTTTTGGACCATTGAAAGCCGCTTTTGAGAGGAAAGAAGACATCATACAAAAGCATTTGGTAATTCTTATTCTGGAGTCTCCCATTACCGGCTATGAGTGACATAGCAAGCATGTCAGCGGACAAACAGTCTTCCTGAGGTTGTGAGACAGGCCTCTACCCTGACCATGTTCCAAACCAGGCTGAAAACACATCTGTGTAGCTGTGCTTACAACCGATTCTATTGTGTACTATTTTTTGCTTTTATCGCCCTTTATAAACCCACATTTTAATAAAAACCCAATATTTTTGTGCTGCTGTTTTAATATGAAATGAAATTATTGTATATTTCATAGACATTTTTAATGAATTTTGATCTGTGTTTTTAAATTGCTCCTGTGAAGAACTTTGAATTACCTTGTACATTAATTGTGCAATACAAATAAATAAATGATTGATTAATTGATTGATTGAAAGCAGGAAATATTATCGTGAAGTAGAGTTTAATGTAACCTATTCTTGTTCATTTGGGGCAAAATGCTTGTGAAACCACCAAAACAGATGGACAGCATAGTACCTGGATGTTTTTAAACCCAAACTATAAAACTATACCAGAAAATAAAAGGCATCTTAACTTACTTTAGGCACAGAAGTCTGACATAAGACACATTTATATCCTGATCTTAAAAACCAAATCCATACAGAGCAAGTGGCACATTCAGGAGGCAGTATGCACATCTGCTGCAAAGTCTCCAGACACCACAAAAGACGTGTTCGAAGCCTTAGACTCAGTGATCGATAAAGAGTCATTTGGTCAGGAACCTCTGCGGTGAGAAGCCGCTCCTCTCAGATAATAACTACAGGAAACCAGTGGATCAAGCATCGTGAGCCGTCGCACAGGGCTCCTCAGCAGCTGCGGCTTATCACCAGTTTAGATTGTGTGAATGAAGTAGAGAGGAGAGCCACAAGATAAACAACTTGCTGAAAAAAAACAAAAAAAAACATGCTGCCATTTTATTAAACCTTAGCTAAACCTTTTATTTTATAGAGTTATGATTCAGTAGATTAGGCCACTGTGGATAAAACAGTATTGCATTTGTATGGATTAGGTCTGGCTCTCCAAACAAGTTCATACACACTTAAAAGCATAAATATAAATAGTACACATATGTCACTACTTTGTAATGCACTTTTTGCACTTTGTAAAAGGTATCGGTATTGGACCAATAAATCCAAAAATAGTATCACCAGAAATATGGTTACATTCAGGATTTCTACCACAATATGTGACTAGAACTTAGAAGCAGTATTGACATTGCGTATGAGGCCAAGTAAAGGTTGTGGATATCAAAGAAATAGTATCGCAACACCTTATTATTTATTATTTGATAAGATTTGGATTGCATTTATGAGATGTACTTACTGTACAGAGAAGGACTCGTAAGGGTCTACCCCGTCACACAGTATAACCTCTGTGTTTAAGCGTTTATCTTTATGGCCCTTTGTTTTCAGACACTCAAGTTCAATGGCAGTGAGAAGACATAGAGAAAGCTGAAAGATTATATTCAATACACGCTTCACACAAAAGGCAACATCATCAAAGTCAAGCAAGTTATTACCCTTCCTTAGTAAACGTAACATCTATACAAGCTTTTCATATTTGACAAATGTCCCAAGGTTGCCAAATGTAAACCACGTCTCTTCAAAACATGCCAATATGAAACAAAAAGGGTAAGAATGAGATCCAATCCACAGAGACAAGAGCACAATGGTGTTTTCTGTACACAAACCTTCACTGTTGAGGAATAAGTAAATGTCACAGGGGAGACGTTTTCACTCACAACAAAAGCTTGAGTATGGAGTGTATCAGATGTCTAGAGGAATGACTGGAAATATGAGAGGTCACCGTCTCCAGTAAATCCTATACTTTTGCACATTTGACTTGCCCAGGGCCAGGTCTACTATTTTAGCTCTGGGGAGAGTGGTGGGGTTTCATTTAGCAGACTGGCTTTAAGTGAGGTAGCCACTGCACTCAATGTTTTAAATTTTTAACCATGCACTAAGCTGCTCAAGGGATGGCCTTAGACTGAGGAACCCAATTTTAGAAACAGAGCATGTGAGGAAACTCTCTGAAACACAAAGGTCATTTGTTTGTTTGGAATAAACATGTTGGGCTAGAATTTAGGGTGTTCATCTGAAAACCTGGTGGGGTCAAAAACATTTGTCCCTATACAATGTATTCTCTATAATAGTATCCACAAGAGGAGCATGAAGAACAAAACTCACCTGTAAGTCGTTGTTATTGGCCATCATTGTGCGGCAGCTACAAAGTTGAGGCAGGTACAGCTGTCAGACCATCTCAAAGTTCGGCTTCAATGGTTCAATCCTAAAATCCAGAAGACACGGGTCTTTGAGTGCTCAGTGGTCCAGGTGAAAGTACACTTTGTAAAAGGCTAAATGTAACGGTGCCGCGGTAGGAACAGGTGAGCTGAGAGCACAGAGCGCCTCGCTTTCATCTCCGCAGGACTCAAAGTCTCTTCGGACTGTGTCCTGCAGCCGCTGCCTGCTCATCCTCCGCCTCTGACACTGACACAAGGAGGATCAGCACCGTCAACACCGGACACACCGGACACACTTCCACATGTGAAGCAGCCGAGCTCCGCCGCAGGATCCAGGCTCCATGGCTCTGCGCTCCTGATGTTCTGTGTGGAAGCGTCTCCTACTGCGACCATAGACTACTGCTACTGCTGCTGCTGCTGAGAGGGAAGCTGGCCTCAACCACCGCACACGACTTCCGCTGATATATTTCAAAATAAAACAAGATCTTAATGTGTGCTCATGGTGTGCTACATTCGTTATTATAATAGATCCATGGCTACATTCTATTCATATTTGTTCATTCTAATATGTCTTATGGAAGCATTATGATGTCACATTCTGAAGCCTTCAATACAAAACCACAATCTGTTTGGGATTTACTTTGATATTTTTAAGTTTCTTTTACATGTTTTTTTTTTGCACACTTTGCAGGGTTTTGAGCGAGTGACGCGCAGCACCCGCAGCGCCCTCGTGTGGCACACACAGAACTGCATCAGCACCGCCGCAGGTGGAAACAAAATCATATCTTACCATTCGTGCAATCTATCTATACTTTGATGGCCATGAGGTTTCAGAATGTGGATTTAGATTCCCTTTTACCCAGTGGGGTGCCATTGATATTATTATAGACCCATGGGTACCACCAGTTCCAATTTGATGACATTGTTTTTCAAGAATATGAGTCATTCATGTCTATCCATTCATTCATCCTTTTACCCTAAACCAGTGTCTCCCAAAGTGGGGTCCGCGGCCCCCTGGTGGGCCGCGAGGGTACTGCAGGGGGGCTGCGGGAGGTCATAAAAAAAAGTAAAAAAAATATATAATAATTTAATGTTAAATTTATAATGTTTTGTTTTGTAATATTAAAATATTTGTGTTCATTATTTGACTTGAATAATCCACTGCAATCATTTTTGTATTACAATGATTGTAGCAGAGGCTATTTCCCCAAAATAAAATAACCAGAAGAGCCTATTCTTAATGTTGTCTTCTTGGTTATTATTTTGGGGGGCCACGCAGACCCGTCAGACTTTTAAGGGGGCCTCGGTGTTACTGAGTTTGGGAATGGCTGCCCTAAACAATAATCCTGTAGACACATACACAACCTGAAAAGAACCAGACAGAGGAAGTCCACATTGTTCAGTTTTTATATAAAGTACTTGTAACAGTAGATCAACAGTTCTTATACATATCTCACGTACATGATTCATACATCCACATAGACTGCAGCTTTAGCACTCTGGTGACACTATTAGCCTTTATGTTTGTTCAACATTTCCGATTACACGATTCACATGAAAAAGAAGAAAATGTAATAACCTCTTCATCATAGGCTCTGTATGTTACACAATTAGTTAAGATACAAATTTGGCACATCGTTTTGAGGTGCTGACAACAGCACCTCCTTTTTCCAGTCCTTCCCTTCTGTGTGAGGGAGTTGGCTCATCTTCAGTTCATCACACATACAAACACATGTGTGTCTTTCTAAACTCAAGACCCTGGGGTAGCGACATGTAAAAATACCATTATGGTGAGAAGGGTAATAAGTCATGGTGTAACAGTCACTTGATTTCACATTCAAGACAGTTCCAGATCAGTGACACGATGCTCATACAATTGCAATTACACAAAAGTAACAACTTTGTGGAAATTATTGTTATTCACATTTTGAACGTTTACAAATTTTCATTGGGTTGTATGGGGCATTTTGGAAATATATAGATGTTTTGAAGGTGTTCTACTGTGTTGATTTCCATAAAACATTACAATTCAAGAATTGCAGTTCAAGACTCTCAACTTTTCCCAGAAAAAGCTATGTGTATCTTACTACCATGCTTCCTGTAATAAATATAATATTAAATGTAGTGTAGTAAGTAGTAAGTAAGTAATCTTTATTTATATACCGCCTTTTCACTGCAGATCTGAGTCTCAAAGCGGTTTACAGCGGTAGTGTAAACGTATACTTTCCCCCTACAATACAACTTCAAAAAGCTAAACAAATCAAGAACTGTTAGGTCTAGTTTCAGTGACACAGAAAACAGGTGTTCTTGCTACTGCAGTCAAACTCGCCAAACTGAGTTTGTTTTGAGGATGCGTGTGTCTGATGAGGTGGGTCTGCATCACGGCTACATAGTAGTATGGCGTAGTAACCTTCCATCATTACATCTTTTCCTGTTTCAGCTCCAGACGAGAGCCCAGATTCCAAACAGGCTCAGTGTCTTTGAGTCTCAGGCCTGTTACGGCAACAATAAACGTTCCAAAGAAATGAGAGCACACATGTCGTTTGTTTGACCTTAGACGCTGCCACGCTGTTCCCTGTTTCTGGGCGCTGAATGCTGACTTCTTCAGGTTTGGTGAACATACATCTCCAACATAATATACAAATAAGTGTTCTATTTGATAGTCCTATCTCTCTGGAACAATATCGTAGGCCAAGTCCAGGACAGACACGTCCAGTTTTTAATGCAAGAATTGATCAGTCTTTTGAATAATACAGTATATGGCACAATTCTTTACAAAAGTCTTTTCGGTGAGACTATTTTTGTTTGATCAATACAGTTGCATACTGCACGAGTTCCTTCTTAGTTTTTGTACTAGATGTGCCTTAGATAGAGTCCTTTGTTTACATGACTTTCATCTGTAGAGCGTGAACGTGCTCAGTCAGTGGAGCATGCGGAGGATCTGGAGGAGCACACATGCATGTAGGAGGCAGAGTTTGTGAGTTTAACCTCCACACCAGAGAGAAGCCGGAGTTTATCTATCTGTGGGGGAACATCTGGAAACAGAAGACGCAAAAACAGCAGCAGGATTCCCAAGGCGATGTTTAAAAGCACAACTGCAGGGTCCTCCTTATGTAAGTTGTTCTGATGTGTAGCTACTGTTGTCTGTCCATCTCTTGCTTCACTCTCAAACTCATATACAGCATGAGATAAAGTGCAGGAAGCACCATTGCAGAATCGTGTACAAGTGGTTATACATTTCAATCAAAGTTATAGTTCATGTGTTGACAGCAAAAATTACCCTTTTAAATTATTGTTTCACTGATGTCTTCTTTCCAACACCTCAAAAACTTGTGTGTTCATGAATAAATGAAACTGTCATGATATCTGCTTTGTTATGTTATTTACATAATGTAAACACACCTATATAATCAGATATCACTATGTAACAGATATGGGTCTTTAAAGGCTCTCCAGCTTATGTGAACAATTCAAACGAATGACATTTGGGGTTCATGTCTCGTGTCATATTTTGGATTATTCAAGCATAGTGTAACTCCCCATAGATGGAGACATGAAGCAGCAATCAGCCTTATGTAAAATGTATCTTCATAGTTTCGTTCTTTCTTCTCGACAATACTGCTGTGCCTTGATCACAAAAAGATGATTCTTTCATGTGTTCAGGCTTGTCTATTTCAGATTTTGCCTTGTCATGTGTTTGGCTGGGTCAGACCACAATGCAGCAACAGTGGAAACCATCAGTGATTGGGAACATAGCTACGGTTAAAGTTAACCCAGTGATTCTCCAGCGTTACGCTGATATTATAGACATGCTTCTAAGTTCATTATAATTAGTCAAGTCAAGATCTTAATAACTATTTATTAAATTTCTGTTTTTTGGCACATCTGTTCAGATTTACAAATCAGTAATTACACCTTTACTGGACTTTTTAATTGGTGAATTTTGCCTATTTAGGAAAATGGAAACCCTTTCTTACCAAATAACACAGGTCCGTGGTAGTAAATACAAAATTAGACCTGCCAGGTTTCCTTATTGCCTAAATATTGTGCTGACACACAACCAGTGTCGTTATTGAACTTTAAATTACAATAGTGCTGATCAAATGTTTCATGTCAAATGTTACCGTATCAAAACCAGGTTTTAATTTTCTTTTCAGATTTTCTTTTTGGATTGGACAAGATTTCCATATTTAAGAACCATTACCCATAATGATCAACAATATCCAGGCTCCCCTATCGCACACACACTCCATACAGAAGCATCTTATCGATCCAGCCCGATCAGCAGCTTTGTTTTCTCTTCCTCTTTCTTGCTCTCGTTCTTCAGGTCGGCAAACACCTGGGTGAAGAAGTGTGGATCCGTGTTGATCTGCAGCATCTTGCCGCTCATTCGGTTAATGATATCCAAGCAGCGGTCCCAGAACGCCTCCTTTTCTGCCTCCACCAGGAAGGGCTTTAGGGGGTAGGAGATCTCATTCCCCATGTAGGAGTAGGACAGGTAGAGACAGGTGAGCAGCGAGGCCTGCAGTTCACGCTCTGAGCCCACCTCTGGGGACACCACGTCCCGGCACAGCATGTAGAGGAAGACCACGTTGGCAGGGGTGATGAAGCCCTGGTCCTGCCAGCCCTGCAGCAGCAGAGAGCGGTCCACCGAGCGCAGCCATAACACGGGGTCAGTGGGAGAGAGGCGCTTCAGGCGGTAACAGCGACGGCAGAGGAACTCACCTAAACTACGCATCAGCTCACTGGTGGAGGCCTGTGCACAGTTCAACACATGCAAACGGTGAAGGGTTAGTCTGGTCCCTGCAGGGGAGGCCATGAGTAGGAGTCAGCGGGAACCCCGGGGGATCCTGGCAGTGACACTTGTGCAAGACTGTGCACAATGAAAACTAAGAGAAAATCTACATTCAGAGAAAACAAGTAAAGAGGTTTGTCACAACATCACATCATGCTCTGGGAGAAGAGAATATAATGTTCACTTTTGTTTACTAAACAAAAAAGCATATGCAAAATGAAATACCAGAATGTTATATGTTACAAAATGATTGTCAAACTGACCTGAACGATGACTCGTTTGGGGGTTCCAGTGGCAGTAGAGGGCTGCACAGCGGAGCCTGTGAGGGAGTTTTTCTTGGCCACCACAGTGGTGACATTGGCCAGTGTTTTGGAGGTGGGCAGGAGGGAGGAGGTAGTGATGCTGCCAGAGGGGTCATGAGCTGATGTGTATGATGACAGGTTTGCACATGACTGTGATTTCTTTAACTTCAGACTGTTGGAAGCTGAGTTTGCTCCCCCTGCAGCATGACCTTCTGGAGAACTACACTTTCCAGCATCCACTTCAGACTGAAGCTTTTTAGAGCCCTTCCTCTTAGCCGACACTGCCACGATGCGTTTCCATGGCAGCACATTGATGATGGAAGGGCGTTTAAGGGACTTGGATGTGGTGGGGTCCTTGGCATTTTTGCTGTTCTGGACGGCAGTGTAGTGGCCCACAGAGGCAGGTCCATCCTCAAACAGAGCCGCCTTTCGGTAACTGGGAGACAGCGACAGGACTGTACCCATGATGAGGCCTGGAGTGGGATGCAGCCAATCAGTCCAACCAGAGAGTCCCCAGACTTATTGCTGATCGATAATCTGTGGGGGTAACACAGGCAATTTCTTTAACTTCCTATTTTTGCAGAGAAACATTCAAATCTGAACCAAGTCTTCAGCATAAATTGTCCAGATTTCTTCTTTTCAAACTTTCTAGATTTTAGCAGCATTTCAGATGTATGCAGCTAAAATCTGAACCAGTCTTCTACTCTGATGTTGTTTAAATCCTTTGTTGTTTAAAAAGTTAAAAACGAGTCTGTTTTGCTGCGCAGAACTAAAGAATTGTATCTACACTCTTTTTGATGTTATTACTTATATATGTATCTTGTTTTTTTAAGAACTTTGAGTTGCTTTGTGTATGAATATATTTGCTATGTGAATAAACTTGCCTTAACTTGACTTGAATGAGGGATCACACTGTGTTTTCCCATGGTAATACTGTCAGTGATGCACAGTACTTAAGTGTGTGGTATGCTTGCCTGGCTGCTCTACAAACATAGACTACTAGCATGTTGGAGACTATGATGTCATAGAGACTAAGCAAAATGCAAAAAGCTTTAGCACTTATACAATTCTACAAATTAGAATAGTTTGGAGAAGAGTTTGGAGAAGAGTTTGTCAATAATAAAGGTGCAGCATTTCACTCCTTACTTTTCCTCTTATAAAAACATTCTCCAGAGATTGGATTGTTATCATTGTATTACTCTGCATTGTAAATCAGCCTATATTACTTTTAAACTATTATATTCATTGATGTTGCATCATTGCGTCAAAGGATATTTATAGTGACATGTGTTGACCTGCATTGGCACAAATAAGTGGCTCCTTCATCTGCGATGAAAAAAAAAGATGATTCTTTCTCTATTTACAAAAGGTGATTTCGTGCTCGCAGGCCACAGGAGTCTTCACTGAGATTATATAAGAAACCAGCTAAGGCCAAAAACGCGAAAGAGATGTGTGCAAGCATCCATCTTAGCTTCAAAATGGAAGCCTCTAAAACAGCCCTTCAAACAGCTCCATGAGGCTGGATGGTCAGAGCCACTGTGAAGACCCTCGACCAGGAGAAGCACAAGGCACTTTATTTGGGATTCCAGCATTTACATGTGTCTTCATACAAGTGTAAGGACACTATGTTGACATAGAAATAGAAAACCACTGCGAATCCCATACGTGTTGCATAATAATCTTATTGACTCGAATATTAAACATGGATCATGGATTCAGTCTGGTATCCTATACCTTGTCGTATCAACCTCCTCTAAGTAACGCCATGAATCACACCTTCACCTCCCACCCGTTGCTGCGGAGATTGGGAGGCAATGCGACGGCTCCGAACCGGCTCAGAAAAGCACTCCCCCTTAATATCTTTCGGGTTATAGCTGGTCCACGGGCAGCTCGCTTTGCTGGATACGTGGGTGAGCACGTCTATGTAGAAACACTGGGTCGTCGTAGGAAATCGAAACGATGCAAAGCAAACTAGAAATACTATGTTCCTTTCCTTCGGTCGCCTCGAGAGGGAAGATGTCTTCCATTGAGAAAAATCAAAGCAGTCGCCGTTACTATCTCCTCTGCTGGGTAAAACACAAAAGGTAAAATTTCAAAAATGGGTCAAGCAGGAAAATAAAATCCTTGCAGTGATGGCGACTTCAGCATCCAAAAATAGATAGCAGCTTATGCCCTCTGCTGTGAGAGGGGCTTTGATGCGGGCATCTGCAGTTGTTCGGGTTGGATGTTGGAGGAGAATAGCGCACGGTGATTGGCTGTTGCAGAGATGCTCCCCTCTCAGCGCAGAGCACCACAGACAATCCGGTGAACACCGAGGCTCCTCACTGAGCCTCGAAGGCCATTGGCCGCTGCGTGAGCACCGCAGCCAATCCGAGTCCCGGAGCTCTCCCTGGTGCTGAACCAACAGATGTGTCAGGACCGGGACCGAGAAACACTGTAATGGCCGCTTTGCACATCATGTTCTAACTGCACACCAGCTCATTGAACATTCAAGTAAAACTTCTGGAGCTTCTGGAGTTTTCGCCATCTCAAATTAAAAACACTTTAACATGACATGTGTCTCATAACCATAATCAGTGTTAGGTCAGTAATCAACAAGCATATACTGTAAACCACATTTACCATTAATTCACATTTATATATATATATATATATATATATATATTACGGTGGTGAAAGGAACTTTAAAGTAATTCAATAGTAGTATAATGCTTTACAATTCAGAGACCGACATATTGTAGTGAAACATACTTCTATGAAATAACAGTAACAAGTAATACATAATGTTTTTGAAAAAAACTTGCTCAAGGCTGATGACGTTGTGTACAGAGATGACATGTGCGTTACTTGACGCCTGACTACAGTTACGTTCACCGGACACACGGAGGCAGCAAAGTTTTTATGTAAAACCATAGATGTTTTATTCATCGTTCTTTCTTTCATTTTGTTTATGTTTTATTGTTTTTTTTTGGACTAAGACTCTGCAAAAAAGTTTAATCTAATATACTTGACCATAGGCCCGATTGTTGGCATAACAGACATAAATGCACTTAGTATGTAAGTGAGACTTCTAGAAATAAGGCCACTTGTCGTTGACTGACGCCACGATGCTCGGTCGCTGTCCGTGGTGCTGGGAGAGCGTCCTGCTGGAAGTTCCAGTGTGCGACGTGTCCGCAGCCTCTATAGAAAGTACGGTAAGCACATGGAAACGTGAGCTTCACGGGGAATCAAAAGGTGGGGTGATCTGTGCGAACGTACGAGAGTCACTGACGCTGCTCTGCCGCACGTTTCCGCTGAGAGCAGCCAATCAGCGGCCGATGCGCTGCAGCTTATAAAGGCGACTGCAGACGAGCCTTTCCGCTACCCCCTCTATCCTACAAACCACTGACCCCATCTGCATCGACGAGCTTCCATCCGTGAAGATGGCGACCCGGGTAAGGGACAACCCTCTCTCTCTGCTCACTACTGTCATGCTCTACGCGTTTGAAGCGATGGGAGATTTCTCAAAGCCTCGGCGTCAAAATGTCGGGCGTTATGTTTGACCAGAATAGTAGCAGCTAACCGTGGCTTCTTCGTTTGAATGTCACTACAGCATCACCAAACGTACTGTTTCTGCACCCTGCGTGTGCTATGAGCGTGGCACGTCAGATTTATTTTACAATGTAATTTTATAATAAGAGCCCCCTGACGCTGGCTGCAACCCTGTTCGACGGCTGCCAGTGGCTGGTAATCCAGGGCTCAGCTTGTCCTTGAGCCGCTGCGACACATGAGACAGAAATGGTCAAGAACGACTGTGTCAGTCCATATTATGGTACAGTGAGTTCAACGTTTGGCTCCAGCCCGCAGCTTTCTGCCTGTGTGCGCATCCTGGTGTCCGCTTGTGGTGACTGGTGAGAGGAGGTAATGGAGCAATCCGGAGGAGGACAACACCTGCTCCTCCAGAGCGCAGTGTTGGGCTCGCATCGCATTCTCTATACCGATAACAAATACATCTGGGTGAGGTGCGTAGTGAGGTGTTATACCTACATACCTACAGTATAGAGGAAACGCACGGTTCTGACATCAATGATAGCTTAATAATGAACAAACATCTTTATTGGAGTCAACCTGTTTCTTAAGTCATATCAGTCTCATCTTGTGGAACATTATGTATTATCTCACAGATACTAATGTATACAGGAAAGAGTTCATTCAACAAGTATACTTAATCTCTGAAGCTAATATCTCAGCCCAATTTCTTTCATGTACAAGTCAAAGTGGCCTTTGTAATTTGGACATAGTTTTAAGCATTTGATTCCTGTTTTGGTTCATAATCTGACGTCAGCATTTTTTCCCTTATAAAACCATTTGTGCAGCTTTAAATCCAAAGCATGAAGTTGATCTTATGAAATCAAACAGTTAACATTCATAACGCGGGATTCTTGGTGATATAGGATGCCCCCTGTGTCCCGTCAAGTAATGGTGCAAAATGCTAAAGTATTACTCAGCAGTGTTGCTCCACTCCTGTTTGCTGCAGCACATTTGTCTGGTGATTTGGTGACACTAAAGCTGATAGATGTTCGCTGTAGACCAGAGTTTATCACCCTAGAAAGCTGTTACATAATGTTTGGTGAGTGCTTCATATGGATCGGAGCTTTACTATTCAGTATCATTTTACTGAATAGTAAAATGATACTGAATCTGAATCTGATATTTAGTTCAAATGTTTGATCCCTGGAGTGGAAATTATTTGGTGATATATTTTTGTTAAGAAAGAATGAGAGAGAGATCAATCAGCTTTTATTTTCTTTCAATTGAAGGAACATTAGAAAAGAGAGTCCGACACGTTGGAAACAGTTCAGGACAGAGGCCTGTACACAGACTTTATGTGCTCCTGTCTCTTCTTCAGGAGAAGTTTCAAATATCACCCTCTGTCACCTTTTTGATGAACCTCAAAAAAACACTTGCTTATATATCTCATAAAACTATATTTGAAATACATATTCTTAGAGGGACACATTTAGAATAATTTGGGCAAACAAAGAGTGTCCCTCAGAGCACCTCTGTTCTGATTGAAATAACATTGTGTGTCTGCTTTAAACATTTAAAGACTTTAATATTTGTCTGATGAATCTGTCACTGTGTGGAATGCGATTATATTCTAAATGTTGTTATTTTGCTATTTTCTAGTTTGTTCTAGTTTTACTTCCTGTGTCTCTCCAACTTTCAACCAACTCATGCTTCCTGCTTGCTCCTCTTTTTGACTAATCTTGTTTCTCTGCACTTATGCCAAACTATCACTGATGGCTTCACGAGCAAATATTCAATCGTTATTTAACTATATCAAGTTTAGAGTGTCTTTGGAAAGGAATCCTAATCTGGTCCTCCGGGTCACTCTCCTCCTGTGGGTGGAACACCCTCTAAAGCTTTAAAGAAATAAAGCTGTTCACAACTTCACTTCACAGAACTAGACATTTTAGATCCTG